CTGAGGCGAGTTCCCAGGGCTGCATTGGGCACAGCAAATAAAAAATCCCAGGCGTGGGGTGCTGTTACCGCTAGGAGGCGGGCTTTGTTTTCAGCATCAGCGTTGTCAATCATTGCTGTGACAGTCTTTTCCATTATGGGGCTATCCCAGTGGGCCTGCTTGTGGTCTTTTGGGACTTGTGGTCGGGGTTGAGGGTGTGCAATGGTGTCCCATTGTCTGGCTGCTTCGATGAACGTTTGATCATGAGTTCCCGCTGTCTCTCTCATACGCTCTGGTAGGATCTGCCCTACCAATTCGTTGGCTGCTGTACATGAGGATAAGAATGCTGGAAGTGCTACCTCAGTTGCCTTTCGTATGCCTATCCCTCCAAATCTCACTGGTAGTGTTGCTTGGTCCCACTGACTGTCATCTAAATCTAGGTTGAGCGCCTTCCTGAATATTGACCTGAGGAGCTCATCATATTGATTTAGAAGTGGGTTGCCAAAAGTTGGTGCACACCTTAAGAAGTATGTTAGCCTGGGCAGGGTAAGGCACTTTGTGAGAAGGTAGAGGGCATCGTGGGAGTCCAAGTCCCCAATTCTCTCTTCCATCCTCTTTAGGTCTCTAAACTTTTCGTCAAGGACTGCAGCAATAGCATTGTGGCCCAGAGGTGCTCCGAGTAGTGTGCTGTCGGTAGGTTTAACGACTGAGGCTTCTGGTAGAACTGATTTCACTGCTCTAATGATTACTTCACTAGATGCAATAATTTCGCACTTGGAGGGGCTAAGAACGAGACCCATGGACTCCCCCCGTGTCTTCACCAGCTGTAAGTCTTCTAGCAGGGAATCTTGTGTGCCTGCCAGAGTGCCATCATCCAGGAACCAGATGTTGAGCTCGCTGGACAGTCTGGTTGTAATTTCTCGAACCGCTATGCAAAAGAGGAACGGTGCAAGTGGGTCACCCTGTTGAATTCCCTCTGCTGAGGTGACTTCATGTTTGCCAAACAGGAGGGTTGAGTCTTTGCTGTAGCCTGCTGACACAAACGGGAGAATGCTTGGGCAATGTTCCTGGACTGCAGTGAGGACTGCTTCCCTTTTGACCGAGTTGAAAGCGTTTTTAAAATCTAATTTTACTACTGCCTGGTCTTCAGTAAGAGAGCTAATGTAGGCTCGTGCAGCATGAGCCGCTGCTTCACAGCCTTGGGGGACTCCAAACCCCAGCTGGTTGGGTTGCAGCATGGTGGCTGCTTCCGTTCGGATACTTCTGACAGCAGCCCTTGCAACTAGGCGGCGAAGGGTATTACCAACGGCAATGGGTCTGATTCCTCCCCCTTCTTTTTGAGGGCACATAGGGATGCACCAAAGAAGAATGGTTTGATTTCATCAGGGATTAACCCGGCGAGGCAGTTGTTGACAAACGTTGTGATTTCTGTCAGGAGCGCTTCTGTATTATATATATATATATATATATATATATATATATATATATATATATATATATATATATATATATATATATATATATATATATATATATATATATATATATATATATATATATATATATATATATATATATATATATATATATATATATATATATATATATATATATATATATATATATATATATATATATATATTTAACCAATATGATAATAGGATAACTTACCAATATTTACTGTTTGAAGCATAATGGGTGTGGAGTCCTTCCACATCTTTACAGTTGAAGATTACCAAGATCTTGATCTGCATCCACAACCTCGTTCTTGTATACTGCAGACTCATATTTAAGCATTGACATGAGTGGTTCAAATGATGAGCAACAAGTTACATTTTCTTCAAGATATGTTTTGATTCTCAAGATTGATGTCAAAAGCTCCAGTCCCATTCGATTTATCAGTTTAGTTTTCACAGATGTTACTCTCGAAAATATCCGTTCAACCAGGGCAGTACTGATTGGCAAGCTGTATATTTTCAAAGCAAACTCAGCGAGGTCAATCAGTATGGGATCGCCAGCAGTGTTTTTGACAGTTATTGTCTTGGTCTAAAATGACCATTCAGATGTCGAAATTTGTCTCTTACAAATGTTGGACTATTCAATGGTTAACGGTAGGCGCCACTGACTTTTAATTTCACTAAGCTTAGATTGGTCAGCTAATACTAACGGAAGTTCTGAAAATGGTGGCCATGTAAGCTAAGGCATATGACAGGTAACAGATTTTTCACCTTTTTTTTAAGTTTCAACATTACTTAGAATACGAGAAAGAAACTATTTGCAAGCTTTCATTAAAAAATTATCGCATCTTTCTTGAATATTTTGAAACTTTTCCTGGGTTATAAAATTGTTTTGTCTGTTAGTGGCTCGAAGTGTTGAAAATTCGTAACCAAAGTCAACTTTCTCCAGCGGCAGATACATAGAATTGTAGTCCAAATTAACATTAAGCTTTGCATGATGAGGACGAACGGTTCTTCTGAGTATTCCAAGAGTGAAGTTTCCTAAGACAGTGTGAAGGCTATACTGATCTACTTCATCTTTTTGATAAAGTAAATTCATCCTTTCTAAACCATTTAGGATTGGTTTGAGACATGTGAAATATAGCTTATTGGAGGGATCAGCGTACTACATTGAAAATAGTTGCCTTGCAACATATTTATCACAAGAGGAAAAAGCAATTTGGTAATGAGTTGTTAGAGAACCCCACTGATCAAACGGCCGCTTTACACTACCGCTCCTTGCCAACCATCGTCTTCCTGACAAAGGTATTAACTGTAAGGGATCTTTCCAATCATTTATCAATCTGTAAATTTCTAGATAACTTTCTCCCCTTAATGAAGATCTGTGGAACCAGGTGTAGCTTTTGGGATGAAGTATTAACAATTAAGGTTGGGAAATCTATTGCCCCTGGGGAGGATTACCTTGCCTTGCGGTTACTTTTTCTTTCAAAGGTTCCTAGGATCAACGTCCCCAGGGGCCGGTCTCTGACGGTAAGTGGTCAAGTCCGTCAGGAGCTCTGACGGCTCCTGCGGTAAGTGGTCAAGTCCATCAGGCTGTTGGACGCGGCTGTGATTTGTACACATTATATTATTAAAGCATAAATAATCATTATTGAGTTTCTTAATATTAATAGCCCAAAGTAGCCCAACTTGTTTTAAACTAGCCCAAAAAGTCGCAAGTAGCGAAATTAAAAATTTGGGAGCGTGGGGCTCTCAAAAGTAGCCCAATTCGCTACTTGTAGCTCAATCTGGCAACCCTGGAAGGGTGCCTCTGTAGTACAAGCTTGGAGTAGTTTCCTTAGAATGTTTTCTGGTATGTCAAGAGGAGTACAGGCCGGATCATGATACATCCTGTCTGCTATCATCCCGATTGTTTCATCCACAGGTACGTTGGTAAACAGTGATTCTACGTCCAACGAGGCTCTTATCCCTGTGGCCCGTGTTCCCTGCAGTAAGTCAACAAATTCCTTTGGAGACTTCAGGCTGAAGGCGCAAGGGACATACGGAGTCAGCAAGCCGTTGAGTCACTTCGCCTGTCTGTACGTGGGTGTGGGTATCTGGCTGATGATTGCCGAAGTGGGTTTCCAGGCTTGTGTGTCTTGACATTTCCATACGCATACCCAGGTTTGTATTCCCCAATAATCTTTGGCAGGTGGAGTCCGGATTTCTGGGCGTTCACAGTTTCGATCAATTTGTTGACCAGGTCACCACCAAGGACACCTTACAAGCAGAACTTATTGCAGAGGGAGGAAAGAATCGAGGCAACTACAGAAACACCATACTGTCCCCAGAGCTCAAAGCGGCAGCTAAGAGCCTTCGTGACAACAAGGAGATGTGTCACGAAGGCTTGGCGACTTGTCACCTCTCTTCGTCAGGAGAGGTGACAAGTCACCAATGTACGTCATTCTTAAAAAAAGACGAATATCTGGCGAAAACGAACCTCATACTCTCTGACTAAACTAAATTCCAAAGGGTAACGAAGGACACTACAGCTGAATTGAAAGCAAAGGTCAACAAATTGATCGAAACTGTGAACGCCCAGAAATCCGGACTCCACCTGCCAAAGATTATGAAATGAAAAACAATTAAAAAATAAACTATGCACACGAAATGAATGGTATGGTAAACAACACAGCTCAATTCCAATGCAATGTCACACACAATAATTAAATGAAAATGGAAATAAATCAAAATCTATGAAAATTAAATTTATCAATGAAATCGGAAACATTGAAATGGAATCGTAACATATTTAGTATAGTGTGTGTTGCTCTTATGTGCAACAGATGGCACTGTTTAAAAAAAAAAGCATGTTTTTTCCTGTCACAGGTGTGGCATCTATATAGTAGGTATATAAAAAACACGCACTTATTCAAATGCAACTTTGTGTCAAAATTTTAAAGCAATCGGTAAAGAGGTTTCGAAGATTTCCCTCACATGAAAAACACAGATTTTCAAAGAAAGCATGTTTTTTCCCATCACAGACGTGACATCTATATAGTATGTAAATAAAAACCTGCTCGGATGCAAGTGGAATGTTGTGTAAAAATTTCAAAGTACCCGCCACGCATTGCAGTGTCTCAGTCTGGGTAAGTGGTAAAGAAAGAAAAGAGAAAGCGCACTTTTCTAAAATGTATAATTTTTCAATGCTTGCAGGTATACAATACTTTTTTGTTGTTCCATTGTCTGTGGAGATATAGAGATTGTCTGGTTTGCCGACTCTAGAACACACAAAATATAACTGTCCATGTGAGAAGCAATCCGTGTCTAGATATAAACTGCACAATTCTAAAGATTGGCCACGAGCTTTGTTGATGGTGATTACAAACGCCAATCGAATTGGAAATTACAATTTTTTATATTGAAATGGCATATCTGTTGGAATCATAGGAATGCGACGAATGAGGACATCTTCACCTTTGAAAGATCCTGTCAAGATTGTTGCTTCTACGACGTCGCTGATTAATTTTTTTTACTGCAAGCCGCGTGGTCTTGCGAAGTTTTGGCTGGATGATATTTCGGAACATGATGATTGGCACACCAGTTTTCAATTGCCGTACGTATGATGGTATTCCTGGCAGATCGAATGAATTCAAAAATTCTGTTGGATAATTAACCGCTTCATCTGCTTCCTCAACAGTGTTGATGGACTTGTATGTGACTGCCTCGCTTTGAATGTTAGACATATTGTTAAGTTCGTGTGCCGGATGCTTTGGAAATGTTGCACGTGGGAGTTTCAATGAATTTCATGTTCAGTGGCAATTTCAAAGCCGAGGTGGCAGTTCTTCCACCTGGTAGCAATGTCCCAGCTATTCCGGACATTGCAAGAGCTTAGGCTATGCCATTTTGGGATCGAAATGCTGCCAGAATCAATCTAATTAAAAAGGTTTTACCAGTTCTTCCTGGCGCATCTAAGAAGATTTCTCCAAGCCCGTTATTGACAGTTGGAATTATTTGATTGTAAATGCCTTTTCGCTCAAGCGTTAGATGAGGAATATTTGATTGCACATACGACAACAGATCACCCGTGTTGTAACTTTGTTCACGACGCAATTCTACATCGAACGAAGCAGCAGCAGATCGATTCGGTGATGGCATTTCCAATTGATTGAGAACTTTGTTCGCGATTTCTAAGCACAAATCTTCACTCATTATGAACGCTTCGATGTAGATTTCTGCTGTAAAATCCATGTTCACATTTGAATTTTCCTTGCGTATTCGATGGACAATATCTTCAGCCATGTGCGATTTATATTTCTCCCATAACTGTGTTGGAGATGAAGGAGAGTCGGTGGTCAATATGATTGCAAACAATGCACGAATTTGATTTGGATGTGACGTGTTGGACGCGTCATTAATGCACACATCCCAGTGTCGGTCGTTCTCCAATGAATTCAGAGCTTGACATGCACTACGGATAGTGGCATGTGGATAGTGGATAGTGGCAAAAAATACTAACGAAATATTTCAATTTAAACGTAGATCAATCGACACAGTCAATTTCACCTCCAACTGCACTGAAAAATAAGAAGGACAGGTAAGAAAACAAAATAAAAAAAGAAACAGATAAACTATACTCGCCAAATGAACACTATGGTAAACAATGCACCTCAGTTCCACTGTTATGTCATAAAATAATTAAATCAAAATGAAAATGAATCAAAATCTATGAAAAATCAATTTATCAATGCAATCGGAAACATTGAAATGAAATCATAACGTATTTTGAATAGCGTGTGTGTTTCTCTTACGTGCAACAGAGGGCGCTGTTTTTCAAAAAAAATTATGTTTTTACCTGTCACAGGTGTGGCATCTAAATAGTAGGTATATAAAAACATGCACGTATTTGAATGGAACGTTGTGTCAAAATTTCGAAGCAATTGGAGAAGAACTTTCGGAGATTATGGCATGTGTTGCTCTTACGTCTTACAGATGGCGCTGTTTAAAAAAAAAAAAAACTGTTTTTTCCGGTCACAGGTAAGGCATGTATATAGTAGGTATATAAAAACACTCGTCTATTCGAATGCAACGTTGTGTGAAAATTTCAAAGCAATCGGTAAAGAGGTTTCGAAGATTTCCCTCACATGAAAAACACATGAAAAAACACAGTTTAAAAAAAAACATGTTTTTCCTGTCACAGATGTGACATCTAAATAGTATGTATATAAAACCCCGCTCGGATGCGAATTGAATGTTGTGTGAAAATTTCAAAGCAATCGGTGAAGAACTTTCGGAGATTAGCGATTTCGAACAAACGAACATTTCCATTTTTATTTATATAGACTAGCTGTACCCGGCCACGCGTTGCTGTGGCTCAGCGACCTTCCCTGTCGCCAAGTCCTCCCCACCATTCCCCCCTCACCTGTCCCCTCGGCCTCCCCACCATTCCCCACTCCACCGTTCCCTCCATGTCCCACTCGCTTGTCCCCTTGTCCTCCCGGTGATTCCTCATTTCCCCATCCCCTCGTCCCCACCATCCCAAACTCTCCCGTCCCCTCGTCCTTCCCCACCATTACCCCCTCCCTTGTCCCCTCGTCCTCCCCACCATCTCTCACTTCCGCCCCCTCGTCCTCCCCACCATTCCCCATTCCCTCGTCCGATGCCTTCCCAAATGGTCTGATGTTCCCATCAGAAAATTAGGAACATCAGGTGATCTGATGTTCCCATCACTGAAATATAAGAAAAACAGTTAAAAAATGAAATAAAAATATGAAAAAAAAAAAATAAACTATACTCACGAAATGAATAGTAAACAACACAGCTCAATTCCAACACAATTCACACAAAATAATCAAGGGTGTGTGTGGTACCCCAGGGCACTAGGGTGTGTGTGGTACCCAAGACCAGTACTGGGGTACCTGGTTACATCACCCACCCCAGGCCCTGGGTACCGCACCACTAGCCCTGTGTACCGCACCACTAGCCCTGTGTACCGCACCACTGACCCTGTGTACCGCACCACTGACCCTGTGTACCGCACCACTGACCCTGTGTACCGCACCACTGACCCTGTGTACCGCACCACTGACCCTGTGTACCGCACCACTGGCCCTGTGTACCGCACCACTGGCCCTGTGTACCGCACAACTGGCCCTGTGTACCGCACCACTGGCCCTGTGTACCGCACCACTGGCCCTGTGTACCGCACAACTGGCCCTGTGTACCGCACCACTGGCCCTGTGTACCGCACCACTGACCCTGTGTACCGCACCACTGACCCTGTGTACCGCACCACTGGCCCTGTGTACCGCACCACTGGCCCTGTGTACCGTACCACTGGCCCTGTGTACCGTACCACTGGCCCTGTGTACCGCACCACTGGCCCTGTGTACCGCACCACTGGCCCTGTGTACCGTACCACTGGCCCTGTGTACCGTACCACTGGCCCTGTGTACCACTGGCCCTGTGTACCGCACCACTGGCCCTGTGTACCGCACCACTGGCCCTGTGTACCGCACTACTGGCCCTGTGTACCGTACCACTGGCCCTGTGTACCGCACCACTGGCCCTGTGTACCGCACCACTGGCCCTGTGTACCGCACCACTGGCCCTGTGTACCGCACCACTGGCCCTGTGTACTGCACCACTGGCCCTGTGTACCGCACCACTGGCCCTGTGTACCGCACCACTGACCCTGTGTACCGCACCACTGGCCCTGTGTACCGCACCACTGGCCCTGTGTACCGCACAACTGGTCCTGTGTACCGCACCACTGGCCCTGTGTACCGCACCACTGGCCCTGTGTACCGCACCACTGGCCCTGTGTACCGCACCACTGGCCCTGTGTACCGCACCACTGGCCCTGTGTACCGCACCACTGGCCCTGTGTACCGCACCACTGGCCCTGTGTACCGCACCACTGGCCCTGTGTACCGCACCACTGGCACTGTGTACACAATCACAGTTGCGATTGTAAAATCACAGAATAGTACAATTGCAGATGGAACCACAATACTCAAACGCGTCTTCACTCGACCCGTTCAAGGTGGTGTGTACTGCCGGTGAGAAGTCCGGAGGAGACGTCGACCAACTCTGTCTGGCCTTGTAGGGCGACGGGACGGGAGAAGCGACGGTATCTGGGTACCGAGGCTCGACGGTATCTGGGTACCGAGGCTCGACGGTATCTGGGTACCGAGGCTCGACGGTATCTGGGTACCGAGGCTCGACGGTACTTGGGTAATGAGGCTCGACGGTACTTGGGTAATGAGGCTCCACGGTACTTGGGTAATGAGGCTCCACGGTACTTGGGTAATGAGGCTCCACGGTACTTGGGTAATGAGGCTCCACGGTACTTGGGTAATGAGGCTCCACGGTACTTGGGTAATGAGGCTCCACGGTACTTGGGTATCGAGGCTTGACCGGAGACTCGGCTTGAGGCTCGCTGGTAGGCTCTACTGGAGCCACGACGGGAGGCTCGACGGTAAATTTGGCGGTAGTTTTGACGGTAGTTTTGGCGGCAGGTTTGACTGGAGACATGTCGGAAGTTTTGACCGGGGGCTTGGCCCGAGGCCTGGCCCGAGGCCTGGCCCGAGGCTTGACCGGTGTTTTTTCCGGAGTCTTTTTGGGTGACTTTTCGGGTGACTTTTCGGGTGACTTTTCCGGAGACTTTTCGGGTGACTTTTCGGGAGAGTTGTCGGGAGAGTTGGCCATCCGCGCCCTTAAGCACCTGCGCTCAGAGTGGAGACCTTGCCTGGCGAACTCTTCAACCATACGAGGGAACACCCAGCGACACGCCGCCACAAGACTGGGCCACTGGACTATCTGTACCATCACGAAGGCCGCGGCGGAGACGACGAAAATCCGTAGAACTTCCAGCCGTGTTCTCATGTGGGCCTTCAGCAGCGCCTCCTGCAGGAGGATTACCCGCTTCCTGTGCTGAATAACCCGCACGATGGAGCCGAAGATGGGGAGCCAGGTCCACACATTGCGGGTACCGCAGCCACGGATGGCCAGGTCCTCCATGGTGATGTAGTTATAGTAACAGGAGCTGAGGTAGTCGATGTAGAGGAGCGAGGCTAACAGGCACACTACCTGTGCCACCTTGGCCCACTTGATCCTCCTGCCGGTCTCTCCAGCCTCCTGCAGGACCTGCTTCCTGACGTACGACAGACCCAGGAAGGTCTGGTCCAGCGGCTCAGACTCCAGGTCCCTGGTCTGGTCCAGCGGCTCAGACTCCAGGACCCTGGGCACAGCCTGGCGGTCCTGCCATGCGCGGTAGTGGCAGTAGACAGCCCTTGAGAGCGCTACAAGATACCTTACGAGTGATACAATATTAAGCATTATGATGTTAAGAAATAAAGTTTTCTATTTATCCCTTATAATTAGTAAGTCTTTTTAACTTAGTCTGTTGTATAGTGGAAATAGGATGTCAACAGTGTTGCCGGGCACCGGCGTTGCCATAAGTCTAGTCCCTCGCGGCGCCCTGACCGCCGGTCATGGCAAGATGTGCAGAATAGACCCAGTGGTGTCTATTCTAGAGGTGCCATAGGCACAATCAGGGAACACTGTTTTAACATCAGACCCAGTAAAGAGGTGCCATAGGCACAATCAGGGAACACTGTTTTAACATCAGACCCAGTAAAGAGGTGCCATTGGCACAATCAGGGAACACTGTTTTAACATCAGACCCAGTAAAGAGGTGCCATAGGCACAATCAGGGAACACTGTTTTAACATCAGACCCAGTAAAGAGATGCCATAGGCACAATCAGGGAACACTTTTAGTATCAGACCCAGTAAAGAGGTGCCATAGGCACAATAAGGGAACACTGTTTTAACATCAGACCCAGTAAAGAGATGCCATAGGCACAATCAGGGAACACTTTTAGCATCAGACCCAGTAAAGAGGTGCCATAGGCACAATCAGGGAACACTGTTTTAACATCAGACCCAGTAAAGAGGTGCCATAGGCACAGTCAGGGAACACTGTTTTAACATCAGACCCAGTAAAGAGGTGGCATAGGCACAATCAGATAATTCTGTGAACATCAGGCACGGTGCCATAGGAACAATCAGGGATATGGCATTCATATACACCTTGACAATCATAGATTAATAAAACAATGACATTGAATGATGCAAAACAATGACAGTGAACTTCTTAGACGAAACAGTGATTTATGAATGACTCACAGTGATTGGTGAGCTCTATGGCGATTGGAAGTTGTCAACAGTGATTGGTGAGCTCTATGGCGATTGGAAGTTGTCAACAGTGATTGGTGAGCTCTATGGCGATTGGAAGTTGTCAACAGTGATTGGTGTAACGACATTTTTGGTGCTAATTGTATTAATATATCGGTTAATATATACTTAAATGTCGCACTGCACTGATCGTCTAGAAGACAGTAAACAGTGTAGTTTAGAAACTGTGAAAACTGCAGTGATGACTAAGGTGGCAGAGGGCGCGTCGGTACCTATGGAGAGAGCTGAAGTTGGGAGAAAAGTGTCGAGGTCCAAATGTAATTTAACTCTACGGAGATGACACCCACGATTATACTACTCTCGGGAATGTTGAAGAAATCAGAGGTTGAAGAAATATATATATTTATATATATATTAGTTATATATATATATATATATATATATATATATATATATATATATATATATATATATATATATATATATATATATATATATATATATATATATATATATATATTCATGTATATATATATATATATATATATATATATATATATATATATATATATATATATATATATATATATATATATATGTATATGCGAACAAGCCTGAATGGTCCCCAGGACATATGCAACTGAAAACTCACACCCCAGAAGTGACTCGAACCCATACTCCCAGAAGCAACGCAACTGGTATGTACAAGACGCCTTAATCCACTTGACCATCACGACCGGACATAATGAGGTGATTTACACGCGATTTGGGGCACACGATGAACGTGTGCCCCAAAGAATGAGGTGATTTGGTAAAATGCTATGCCCAAGATAACTATCCGAGTGCCGGCGGTGGGGTGGTTCATATAGCCTCGGCTATCACCTCATTATGTCCGGTCGTGATGGTCAAGTGGATTAAGGCGTCTTGTACATACCAGTTGCGTTGCTTCTGGGAGTATGGGTTCGAGTCACTTCTGGGGTGTGAGTTTTCAGTTATATATGTATATATATATATATATATATATATATATATATATATATATATATATATATATATATATATATATATATATATATATATATATATATATATATATATATATATATATATATATATATATATATATATATATATATATATATATATATATATATATTACAAGAAAATTACAGCAGTAATTACACCAGGGAGGGGGGGGGGGGTCAGAACAACACTGACCCAGGGGGTCAGTGTTGTTCTGACCCCCCCCCCCCCCTCTCAAGCCGAGCGGTGCCCGATCAACCTCCCCCCTCCCCGCCCACCGGCCTCACCCCACCACCCCGCCCACGCTGCGCCTGGGTGTCTCCCACCCACCTATTCACCGCCCACACAGTGCCTGTTGCAGAGATGGGTATGGGGTATACAGAGTATGGGTATACTCCATGCACCCAGGTATGGCACAGGTCACAGCAGGCATTCAGGTTCCTCCCAAAAAGGAAGGGAGACACAAGTACTCATATGAGTGGTGAGTGTGAGGGACAGCTAGGCACTCCTGTTGCCACCACCCGTGTCCACCCTTCCCGCCACCACCCGTGTCCACCCTCCCACGCCCGCCGATGTCTCAGCTCGCCCGGGGGATGGAGGGGACTCCACCAATTAACCAGGAACCCCTCAGCCAAGAACACAGTCCTGGGAGCAATGCACCCAGAGGCGCACCCAGAGGATCGGACGAGAAGCGGTGTTCTCAACGTGGTATGGCCGTTGGCGCACCCATAGGACCCAGAGCCTCATAATGTAGGTCCACCCTCACAGTGAGAGTTATTCCCCCACCTGACCATAGTGAGGAGCCAGGGGAGGGACTAGTGCAAGCACCCGTCATTAGATGTGACCGAGGAGGAGATAAGCCACGGATGAGCGTCGAAGAAACTTGGAAGTGAGATGTTGACAGTATGCGACGTCCCGAGTGCAAAAATGACGTCATAGCGGGAGGATGTCGTCTGCGAAGATCATGAGACTTCGCGTGCTGTGTGAGGGGTCGAGGAGAAGAACGCTCGTCCTCGCTCCAGGAGGAGGAGGAAAATATTGGTGACTTGTGGGGAAGAGTCTGTGAGAATCTTGGAGAGTAACGTTTAAGGACGAATAGTGGCAATGAATAGGGACAAACTGAAATCAGTTGGATGGTAGTGCCCTGAGGACCCATACAGTGTTTGAGCAGGTGAACCGGATTGGCACCTGTGCTGTAACCCTTCACTCTCTAGTCAAGACTGAAAGGAGCCGATTAGTGGTACTCAAAGTAAGTTTTGTGTGCAACTTGACAGCACAATATTTGGACGTCGTGCGACCAGCATCGCTGCTACAGTATTGTGTGGTAAAAGCATGTTAAACTGTCGTGTGTTGCCTGGTGCAGCATGATCAAGTGCCCAGTGATCTTATATAATATTTAGGAATGTTAACTAGAAAGTTGTGTAGAAATAATGAGAGGATATAAGGAGTTTAAAGTGAATTGACATTACGGAAGCGGGAGCGACACATGCTCCCGCGGTTGGGATCAGTGGGTCACTGAGAGGTAAGCCCCGCAGCGGACGGAGATTTCCGGTGTGGACTCGCCCAGGAAGGGGAGTAACCCCGCGTTGACGACCGGCGAGTGGGTGAGGAATTGTTGGAGGAGTTTTATTTTAATGGTATTTGTGTTTAGATGGGAGATTATTTTGTTATTTTGTGATAATGGAATTACAGGTTCATGTATGGTGGACGCGGTTCATCGTTAGTTGATGTAGCAGCGAATTCCTGAGGAGCG